GCATGTTTAATGGTTGTTCAAACTGAAACTGAGAGTGTTCGATCAATGAATGTCGTAGGATTCGCTGGAGACTTCAATGGTCAAGTGGGATCCCTTTACAAATCAGAAAGGTTAATCGGAAGGACAACAAAGAACTCCCACTTTGCGCTAACCACGGGTTGTTTCTGTCAAGCACCAACTTCTCGCACAAGAAACGACACCGCCTTACATGGAGATCGCCAACTACGCAGCGTTGGACTCAAATCGACCGAATCGCCATCAACCACCGCTGGTGAGGGTCCATTGAAGACTGCCGCTCTTACTGGTCAACACCCGTGAACACAAATCATGTTCTGCTACAAGCGAGGTCCTCCCTACGCCTAGTAAACAACCGCAGAAAAGTCACCGAAAACGGATACCCACAATTCAGTGTCAGCAATGGTTGTTAATCGGCCTTCGAAGTGGAACTAACAGGCCGCCTTTCAGATCAACCATCAGCTCAGTCAACCGCTCTAAATTCTGGCTCTGCCTCGTTCTAAAGGGTGTGTCCGAGAAGTTTATTTCAATATTACAATCGCTTTATATTAATAGCCGAAGCCGAGTCGGAGCTTACGACACTTATTCATCCGAGTTCACCACGAAAAGCGGTATTCAACAGGGTTGCCCTCTCTCTCCATTTCTGCTTAACTTTGTGCGATGATAGCGTTATCGATTTACTCCCAGGTGGCAGACTGCCTAATCTAGGGTATGCAGACGACACTGTGCTACTAAGTGAAGATCCAGGTAAGTTGAAGCTTTTCTGAATAGTTTGAATTCTCGTTTATCCATGTTTCGTATGCGTTTTGCCCCTTCAAGGTGTAAAATTTTACTACAACATTGGGTTGGTCCAGCACCTAATCTCACCCTGACTGGGGAATTAGTAGAGGAAGTGGACAAGTTTTGCTATCTGGGCAGCTATATCTTACGTGGCGGACGCATCACAGATGAAGTATTGGCGCGCATACAAAAGCTCGGTTGGCATTTGCCAACTTGAGGCATTTGTGGCGCCGTCGCGACATCCGGCTGTCTGTGAAGGGTCGAATATTTGCTGCGGCAGTTCGACCACTCCTGCTCTACGGTGCAGAAACTTTGCCACTACGACAACACGATAAAAATGGATTGTCGGTGTTCGAACACCGCTGTCTAGGTCGCAGTGAACGAGTCTGGTAGGGTAACCGTACGATCAGTGTAGAGGTTAGGCGTAGAGTTTTAGGCAGTCACGGTCGTCCACTGGAGCAAGTGATCGATCTCCATAGATTGCGTTGGTCCGGGCATGTTTTACGCATGTCACCAAATGGGTTGCCACGGCGAGCGATGTTTGCCGAGGCAGGTAGCGGTTGGAAAAAGGTCAAGGGTGGTCAAACTAAGACCTGGCATGAGAATATGAAAACCCTAACCAGGAGCCCGGGTGACATAGGCCCCGTTAGGCTCCCTGGCTGGGGGCTTCGGGATGATGGTCACCGATGGTTAGAGACTGAGTGATATGGCTGGGTGTCTTAAACAGTGGCGCTCGTGCATCTACTCTATGTTCTGGTAACCTGAGTCTGTATGAATTGTTGAATTTGCTCTCAGCATTCGAATCTTCATTCTGCTTTTTTATCCAAATGGGCGACCGAAAGTCAGCAACAAAAACCATTTCATGGAAGTGCGAATCCTCACCAGTGAAAACGTAAGGAGGGTTTGGTGGTTGGTGGTCTTTAATAGCCTTGAATAGAGTACATGAGACCAAAGAGCAGTAATTAAGATATAGGCAGATCTGAGGAATAAATAGGGTCTAGTCAAGGATAATAAATTACAACTGTTCAGTATAGGGTCCAATGGACTCTTTAACTGGTCCACTTGAGATCCTTGAGCAAAGGGCAGCAATTCTACAGCCGGGGCATTCTTGATAGCACTTTTTATCGGATCCGACTGCCTTGATTTCGTTTACGTTGTTCTCCCATCCAAGCAGATACACTCTCTATCCATACCACATCATACCTGTACGAATCATGATTTCTGCCGCGACCAACAAAAATCGGTTCACTGCAGTTCGCTGTACAATGATGGCTCTAATTTGATTTTTTGTTGAATTGATGTCGTTTGTTCATATGATCAGTACTGGAAATCGGTATCTTTGCTTCTGATTCCTTTTGTGATGGTCTGTTTTAGCACAATGGAGCAATTTGATGGTTCATTCAATCCGGAAAATACAACCTACTCAATATTTCCGGCGAGAAGGGATGACAGTACAATACCCTATTCCACAAACAAGGTTCCTTTTCTTTCACTTTTTTATAACCATGACCGTATGCGTAATTGTAGATTACAGCACTGACACTGTTATCCAACCTTTTGTTCGTAGGAACGGAGAAAGGGTATTTTTCACTTCTCTCAGAATGATGTGACATGATTTTCTCCCAGTGTGGTTACTCAAATTATGGTTGAAGCACAAGAACTCGATAGCACATGTTTTCGCTACACCGAAT